ACCAACTTTGTGTGACAAGTTAGTTTCATTTCCTTTTCACTCACATTCAAGCTCACTGTATGTTAGCTGCTATCAAGGTTTCTGTTTCAAAGCAATTGTTAATTCCCCCCCCCCTTTTTTTTTGAGAAAAGCATTCAGGCCATTCAATACAAAGAGAAGTTTTTGAAAAATCAGAAAGAGCAAACTGGATTAATAAAAACAAACCACTGTTCTTAAGATAATTGCCACAATAGATACAGTAGAAATACAAATTTCCTCCATATCATATCATTTCCTCAGTGAACACAATTTGAAGACAACTGTCAAAATTTGTGTGGCCCTATTTTTATGTGTATTTAAGAATGTTTTTCCCAAAAAAACGTGGAAGGCGGACTTCAAAATCCCCCCCCCCTTCTCTCTCTCACACACTCACACCATTATTTTCTTTTACACTTAGAAAACAAAAGCTGCAAGACGGGGCTAGTTCTCATAACAGAGCTACCCACTCGATTACTATCTGGGTTATTCCCTCCTTTCCCCTTGGAATGCCGGAAAGTATCCTAGGGACCTGGGAGCAGCAGCCAATTTCTGTCCCTGTTCCAGTCCTGACTCTATTTGCACTCTTTGTGATTTTTGCCCCTCCTTTCCGCCCCAGAGATTGCTTTTTGAGATATCTGAAGTGACAGTGGCTCCAGTGTCCAAGAAGCACAATGGTGTGGTCATCAATAGTTTGCCACCATTTTTATTTTTAAGGATCAGAAATGTGTACAAATAGTTTTGTTATTATCTTTTTGTCCATAGTGCAGTTTGCTAAGAGCACAACTCAGACTTCCTTAAATGCTTGCCCAGCCAATGTCCAGATAAGTACCTGCTACCCAAGTGGGGAGGAATGATGAGCACTGACAAAGTCAGGCCTCACATACTTTCTCCTCTCATTTGAGAATGAGCTGCAAGTGAGCCAGTCAGGTGAAACCTGAGACGTGGGAAGTCTCAGCTTGCAAAAGGGGTAGCAAGTTCAACACCCCCTTCATAGCGAGATCTTCCAGGTTTTAAGTATGGATTTGATGGTTGTCAGCATCCTCCTTTACACCCTTTTGTAAGATTGTAGAAGGCCAGAATAGTGCAAAAAGTGCAGTGCACCTCAGAAAGTGAAGATAATTGAGGCATTAGGAACTGAGCCACAAAGTACATGCTCAGGAATTAGTTTCTGCACTAGAGCTGGTGCTACTGCACAAATCAAAGCACTCATAAATCTAGTTTTCTTTATCTGCAAACTTGATTTAAAGAGCCCAATTCGATAGGCAAAAAACCCCTTTTTCTGACTATAATTAATCTACTGGAAGTTGGAAATCCTTGCTTATCTACTATAAATCATATACTACTAGTAGTAAATCCTGATATAACGTCTTCCCACTCTACTCCTGCTGTAAGAAGCATACAATTCAGCTCTGCTCCTGCGTTGAAAAGCCCCCACTAAATAAGCAAAATCAACGGCTGTAAACAGTATGTTCTTTGTATTTCTGAGGATATGCAACATTATCTGAATGTTCAGATAAGCAAACTGAAACTTTAAGCACAGAAGAATTGTTGCTTCATGTGAAGGTCAGATTGAGAATTCCCTTTGTGTGAAAGCATTATTAATCACCTTACAGTTAGCAGTGCATGTAGTTCTGATTAAATATATGGTTCACTTGGTTAAAGATGTTCAGAAAAAGAATCTAGGTACCTGAAGGGTGTGTTTTGCACCACAATGAGAGTTGGTAGTGTCAGTGGCCTGCTTGTGCTTCCTGTTTAGGAAGCTTGATTGACTGATAATAAATTTTCTTATAATAGCTAAACACTATTGCTGTATGTGCCCAATTTGTGAAGCCTAGAATATAGACAAATGTGCAGACAAAAAGAAAGGGCGGGTACCTCCCCCACCTAAACCAACTACTGTAAATCCTTAGTGAAATGTGTGGAAGCCTTTCATTCACAAAAATGTGCTGCACCAAAGAAACTTTCCAGCCTTAAATCGAGTGACTGGGATTTGTTTTTTTGAGAGCTATGTCCAGTGACAATTCCAACAGAAGTGGCATTACAGTGTAAAAAACCTCTGAACACATAGAAAATAGGGGCAGAGTGATGTGCTGGCAACCTCTCCCCTGCAGAAAAAGTTACTTTCCACTGGAATAAATTCCTGACCCCAAGTTCAAATTTTGCTGTAACAGCAGAAAAGTTGTGCTGCCTCGCCAGTCTCAAAGGTCTGCAAGAGAATAAATTGCCTTATGCCCAGATAAAGACCATTCCAAGTGATTCCAGTGCCAAGAACCATTGTGAAGGCGAAAGAGAAGTGATTGGATCCACACACAAAAGCCAATCCTGGAGCAAAAATGCACTGTGTGTCCAGGAAGGGGCACAGTTACCAGCTGACCTTCCTGACCCTCAAGCAGCCTGTGACTCCTCACCCAGAAAGAGCGGCCAGTGGCTCTGCAGCCTGAAAGTTCTGCAGACCACCTTTCTGATTACCTGTCAGAAATGAAGGAATAAGAGCTGAAACTGACTCTTTAAGGAGGAGAGGAGCTGGGTTACTCTGTGTATGCTGTCGAGAATCAGACCCTGCCTGTAGACCACCCAGTACATGATGTGTGGCTCAGAGACTGGGTGCTAGTGAGGAAGGTTGAATGCTTCAGAGAAGACTCACAGACCAGGTCAGGCACTTTGCTTGACGCAGAAGAAGCTGGTGATAGGGCAGCCCAGCCCTTCGCAACTGGAGAGGGTGGGAAGAAGTGCCCACATAACCCATCAGGGCTATTGATGGCCCTGTTTGGGTCTTGGCCTGAAAAAGAAACTGTAAGAGACGAACTGAGACAGGAGTGCCCAATCATTCCCTTCTGTTATCCTGTTTATATCTTATTTGTTTCTACCTCATTAATACATACTACATATCTTGCACAACTAATTAAGGAAGGGGGGAAGTATGGGGCTTCTAAAAGGTAAAGAAGCTTGCCATCTGCTCTCTGCACTTGTTTCATATTCTCCATAAGAAAAGGAGCCCTAATTCCCTTCCAATTTGGTGAAAATGGATGGGGCACTAATTTGAATAGAAATCATGATGAAAACATGGTTGACTCTCTCTCAATGGCTATGACCTCAACATTAAATCTAACAAAATGTTGGTTGTGTTTGATAGCAGCAGAGGATGGAGGGGGATCAGTGTTTCCTTTTAGGGTCCACCTACTAATGTCTGAAGAGTCAGCCAGCCCTCTGACACCCTCCAAGGATGCTGAGAAGGTTAATAATCATGGTGGGATGCTGGATATCAGATGGAAGGGGAATGGTGGGACATGGAACTGAAGGAGGCATTTTGGTGCTTTAAGAGATACACTTTTGCCAAGGCAAACTTAGACATGGGGAAGTTGCATTGTACATGGACCAGGGACTGGGAATCAGGTTGTCTTGGCATAGGCTGGCATCACAAGAATGGCACTTTTATCACTGGGTGTCAATAAACCTACATGGCCAGTCAGTCCTGGTGGGTACAACACTGCACTAACCTTGCTGTGCATAACTGAACCAAACCGTCCTGTGCCATCCTTGTCCAGAGTGTCTTGAACACTCAGAGGGGGCTACTACTATGAGGGGGTCGGGCAGAAGGCAACCAGGACTAACTTCTTCTGAAATGGGGAGAGAGCGAAAGTGGGACACTACTTTTTCTGTGGAAGGAGAGCTTATCACACACTTCCTTCAAGTTAGATGGGTCTTGCTATATGGGGATGAATTGTCCTCCTTTCAAAATCCTGAAACCTACACACCCTAATTTTGTATCACCCTAGTTTTGTTGAATTGCCATATAGTCACCCCAACAAGATTACTAAGTTGGAGAAAATTGTGCAGAAAATTTTACCCCTTCAATAGGATTGAACACTTGGAGGTATGTTTCTTCCTCACCAGGAACAAAACATCTTTCTGCTTTGGTATGCAGGTGAGAGAGTTCAAAGCACTGTAACTTTTACCTTTGTAACCTATTACAAGTGTGGACTGTTGTGTGTAACCCTTTAATGGACTAATGTATAAAAAGGCATCCTGAGAAATGTTTGGGGCATGCCATACTGGAATGATTTCTTGGCAGCTGTCTTATTCTTGAAAATAAACTTTAAAAGGGAAAATCTTCCCCTGTTGTGTATTTTGAGCATAAGCACATCAGGTGATGGACCTATTTTGGTTAACAATGCGACTCAAACACCTCTGGAGAGCCCCAAATTGGAGAAGCTGATTTAAATTCATGGCTGTGAGTCATGATCTATTCATGTGCAGATGTGTTATTTAAACAGTTGTAGGAATTGCTTTTACATTTTTCCACAGCTGTCATCAGTTATAGCAGGACAAGGTTTAATTAGGACTCCCCCCACCACCACCACCCCCAGAACTAGTAGCATTTGCCATGTGGCAAATAGGGAAGTGGTTATCGATACGCAATTCAACTTAAGTTAAAGAAATAATCTAACTGGCTGTAGTCTTATCTCTGTGCTAGAAGGCTTCAAACCCATTATTGCTTGTTGATGGATAGAGCTACTGTTAATCTTTGCCAAGAAATCAGACGGACTCGGGCAGGGGTGCCTTTTTTCTTGCACTTATTGAGTTTGGAACAGGGTTGCTACCCCCTGCTGTAAGACAAGCTGTACTGCAAGCTTAGCCTTCTTGCATTTAGGTTTGCCTGCCTAAGCAGGATAAGATAATGGACACACAGATTACATCCCTAACTTATTGTGGGGAGTGGGTTTGCTCCCTCTGGGCACCAAACTGCCAATCCAAGCCCCCACCACCATGGTTTCTACCAGTGAGGATAGACTGTTGAGGTGGTGATCAAGTTGCCAAGAACCCATGGCCTGTTTTAGGGTTGCAAGTAGTTTATTTAATCCCCCAACAAACTACTCTCAATGCATTCATACATAATGCAAAGCTATGGTACCCTCCCCCTCATGTGTCCCATACATTCAGGAGAGTGGCCATTAACATGGCAAGAAACCACACAAAGAAACTCATGCACAAAGGCCTTTCATTACAATTGAAGTTGGCCAGAAAATATGGGAGATGATGTTAACTGAGACAGTGACCTGGTAAACCACACATTCTTGAAGTGTAAAAGATCAAGGGCGCACTGAATCCTATGAAAAGGCAAGCCCATCCTATTCAAAGGGTGGATAACTGCACATCACAGTCTTAACCTATCAATAATTAGCAAAGTTTTGAAATTAGTTTAGAAAGAAAAATGTGTAGGGCCAAGTATTTTTGTGCAATTTCTATGTGCAGAAATGGGCACTGAAGACAGAATTCAGCAATCTGAAAATTAAAAAAAATCATTTTTTTTAAAAAACCACCACATTTCTAGTCCTTAAAGCCCCACATGGACTTGAAAGTGCGTGGCAATACCAGTCAAAATATCAGAAACTGTCCTGGAATTTCTGTGTTGTTCTTTACCCTTCTTTCCCACTGCCTAACAATAGTCGAGTTATACACAATAAACAGATAAAGACCGTTGAATTTATCATTTCTAGATAACGAATTAGGGTAACCTTGGTGCTAAACCAATATTTTGTATCCAAAGCAAGTGTGTATACTTCCAAGTCTCTCTGTGTAGTCTTCACAGCTAGACTTTTTAATGAAAGAGAATGTTTCATAGATACTAACCTGTATACAATTCTGATTTCTTCATTTTTGCAGTGCAGTCATACAACAGACAGCCTTGGCCTTGTTTTTTCCTATACAGTCTTATTTCTAATCTTCACGTCCATATTTAAAACACTAAATGGTGCATAAGAGCAAACAAAATTCCACTTCTTATAAAGGCAACAAGTCCAATTTAATCTCTCCCGGGTTGAAGCACAGAACACGTGCACTTCCCCTGTACAGACAAATGTCAAAACACAGGTACCCAAAAAAGGAACCCAACAAATTAAGTCTTAGACTAGGCACAGACCACATGCAGCCTGTAGGCACCAGTGCACCTCAGGCACATTTCTTGACCCCCACCAAGGTCTCTCTCTTAGAGGAAGGCTTGAAGGATCGGGCTGATCCTAACAGGGCAGGCTCCTGCTGGAGTTTAGAAGGCCTGATAGTGAGCGTGTCAGCGTGTTCTCTCTGAGCCAATATGAGAGGAAGTGACAGAGCCAGAGATCTTGCCAGACTAAGCAGATGGAAATCTGATAGCAGGTAAGGTATGGTTCCTTTCCCGCTCCCTACACCAGATGGGTCCTCCAGGTATTCAAATCAATTGGCAGCCAGGTGACTTGGGGGGCTGTGAAGGCATCTGAACTCTTCCTAATGAACAACCACAACCTTTCATCAGTTTGGAATGGAAAATACATTAATGCAGGACAATGCAAGGGTGAGTGGAGCTTCCCACACTCGGCTTCCAAATCTTCCCAGGAACGCAGCTGCAGAACCCATTTGTGTAATGCGCAGAGACCACGAAGAAGAGCATTCATTTCAGACTGCTATAACTAAAATAAAACTAACTTGCCCAAGAAGCTAAGTACAAAGCAGAAGTACAAAATGCACAACCACTGCTTTGAACCCAAATAGAGGTGGTGCTGCAGCAGAGCTCTTCACTTTGCAGCTTCACCGTGCCCATGGGCACCACATTGGAAACCCCTAGTATTAATGGACATTTTTCTATAGACACAGCAACAGAGACAAAATAAATACATCACATATTAGTGCTACAAAACTGGTAAAATTTAGGGCTTAAATTGTCTCTACTTCACTGCTGCTCAGCACTTCAGTTCTAGCCTGAGATGGTCATTCCTGTTCCAGCAGTCTCCAGTGAGAACATGCAGAGGCTTGACAATGTTACAGTATTAGTGCACAGTATACATTAACAGAAGCACAATATCAACCACCGCAACTCTTGCAGTGGCCGGAAACACACTGATCTGCTGTCTCTCCATTATGCAGTCCCAGCATGCCCATTGCATACAATGGTAAGGCGATGAAGACCTTCCACCCGTGGCTACACCATGGCAATCGCTGAGTCCTCAGTGCTACTTTCTTGGTCCAGGCCCACCCTCCGGATGGACTCCCTGTATTTCTGCTTGCCCAGCACAATAATGGCTGTGATCTCGTCTGCTATGTCTTGGCGGTCACTCGCCTTCATGGCGTTGATCAGCTTGTCAATACAGTCAGAGTTCTTTTCATTTCGCTGAGCCCAAGAGAAGAGCATATTCAGAATCTGAGAACTGAGGTCTTCCCTGAAAATAGGGGAAAAATGGAGAGAAGAAAGTTGACATTACCCATCCAAAATCAGCAAGCTTCTTTGAATTTAAACATACCTTTCTGTATGTTTTCTGTATATTCTGTATGCCTTTCCGTATTTAAGGCCACTTTAAAAATTAAGAAACACATAATTAAGCAAAAAGAATAAAACATGCATTTCATTATAGCAGAAGTAGGCCAATTTTGGGGGCCACGGTGGATGCATGTGGCAATTGGAACAGTCCTGGACACCACCACAAAAAGCCATGGGAAGTGTGACAAAGGACAGATCGCTTGCTCTGGAGAATCGGTACTAGGCAGAAGTGGAGTATGGAGTCCCAATATCCTAAATAGCTCCTTGGCATCCACAGTTTTCAGCACCAGCAGAAACCTGTTTCAGCGCAATCCCAATTGTCAGTAAGAAAGGGTGTTAATTATTTTTAAGAGTGGGAGTGGTAAGGCATATTGGCAGGTGCTGAGAAACACTTTCCTCTGCATTAAAGCAAGGATGGCAGTAACATGAATGTAGAATAAAATACAGCACATTGGCTGCTGCAGAGCTTAACCCAAATGGCTTCTCAAACAGGGAACAGTAGCACTAACACATCCAAAGCTTTGGATTCTTGTCTAACTCAACTGGAAACACCTCAGGCTGTTCACAGAGATCAGAGTGTGGATAGTACAAAGCATTACAGTGTACTGTGTGCTCTTAATTCTTCATTTATGGTGCTTGTGGTTGCTGTACACAATAGGTGGGTTCGCACAATGCAACAGGTAATGGTTGTTTCTTGTAGTTTAGAGGAAATTGAAGATATAGGGCGGGGGGGCAGTTTGCAGGTAAGTGAGGTATGCAAATGGAAAAGAGTGAGAGAGAATTATTTAATACTGATTGAAGAACAAGAGGAACAAAAACAAAACAATGAGGCTAAGAAAAGAATAATACTTGCTTAATGGGCAGGATCCCATGCCACCACAAGCCAAAGTGGTTACTTGCGCAGAATGGTCTGCTGTATCACCCCAACCCTGTCAAAGGATTTCAGCATGGTACATTTTGTTTCTACAAACCACAATAAGAAGCAACAGCTTGTTCTGTGCTCTCAGTGCTTCACCATGGTTTCTCTAACCATCCAAACCTGGCATCCAAACCTGGCGTTTTCATGGCGCTGGTATGCAGCTACCACAGAGTCCCCTGGAAAGAACAGCAGCTGCTGCAGAAGCTGCTCCACCCACGCAGCATGCGAATGAATTTCAGATGCAGTGCTTGATGGGATCTAAGAAAGCAGCAGGTGGAAACCATGCTACCAGAGAAATCACTTAATCATCTGTCCAGCATATCCAGGCAAAAAAACCATGCACCATGGAAACCCCACAAGGTTGTTTGCCATGATGTGTGACCCAAGCAATGCCATCATCCTCCAGGTTGTACTTTGCACCTCTTTCCCTGTCTTTTTTCTATCAAGGAAAGTGTGGCTTAATTTGGAAATCAAGCTAAGAGAAACTCATGTATCTTTGCAGTTCCACTATGCTATAGCACCACCTTGTTGTTGTGTAACAGAACATATACGAAGGCAAAGAAAGAAAACCCCCAGGGTGAAAAAGGGCGTGTTAAAGGAACCACAAACTCAGAAATAATCCAGAAACAGAAACCAGGGTTGCATGCAGAGAAGCCCTGGGAAATGATTAGAAATTCTGGCACCAACTTTGGGGGACAGAGAGAATTAGGCTAGCTTGGGGGAAACCAGGGGGGAGTGATGGGGTGGGGATGTGTAAAATGTATGCACATGCAATTAGAAAAAGTAAGAACCTTAGTTTCCAAGATATCACTAAGTCGCTCAAGAGCCTAAGTACAAAGCTGAGGTTTCATCAGAACTCCAAAAACAAAAACATTTGTCTCCGTGCAAATAAAGAGGACATTTGAGCCAATACTTCACTTTGTGGCATACCAGACTACCAGTTAAAAAACAATAGCATTCATTTAAAATATCGAGAAATAAAATTAAAATCAGGAGACACAAGGAGCTTCCTGGGCACCCTGAAAGGCTTTCATGGGCACACTGGTGTCCACAGTCACATGCTGAAAACCCCTGGCCAGAGTCTGCATAGTAAGGACAGAAATCCTGGCGAGTGTGACTATCCATGGCAAAAAGGATGCCAAAGTTCTTTGCATAGTTGTCAGGGGAGGGGATAACAACAGCTGGATAATCAGCACGGCATATAATGTTCCTGGCTTACCTGTTATTGTATTTTATCTGCTGTATCTGCTGATAGGACAGTCCCAGGTTGATGCCAATCGATTGCCAATCAGCTCCAATGCGCCCAGCGATGCTAAGCAGGTTAGACTGTGTTAAGTAGCCTGTCTCAGCATTCCCCAAATTCAGAGGAGGGAGAGAGAAGCCATTTTGAATTGTAGGTTGCTCATTTGCTTGAGATTTCAGTTTCTGGCAACAGAAGGAAGTATTCTTCCGTTACTCATGATATGCTTTTAAAAGGCAAGACTTGGAATCAAGAAGTTGGAGGGGACCTTGCAAGCCAGTGTGGTGAATAGTTAAAGTGCCTGAGTGGGGCTCAGGAGATTTGGGTTCTCAGTTTCACATGATACCAGGTGACCTTGACTTTCAGTGCCAGGATCTGAGCCGCTCTGAATCTTCACCTGATAGGCAGAACCAGAAAGCCCACAATGGTATTCACAGGCTCAGTCCCAGGCCTTGCTGGAGCTCTCAGGCTCCTGAGAAGAGCAGCTGGGAGCCCTGGGGGAAGAGCTATACAAAAGCAAACTCTTTCCTGCAGAACGGAGGAAACAGATCTTTGGGCTTATTGTAGTACTTGCACGCTGCCTGACCCTTATGGTATCTCTTGCATCTTTGCCATGTTGCCTCAATAACACAGGTCCTCCTGTTTGCTGTCGTTCCTGCAACTTGCTGAATCTGGTTCCTCTCAAGAATCCGGCATCTTGCCAGGTATTCTACCTTACCTTGTTGCTTTAGCAATGCAGCTCTTAGCTCTGGTTCGGCTCCTACATCTTGCCTGACCTTTGCAGTATATCTTGCCCTGCCACGTATCCTGCCCAGTTACCTCTGTTTGCCTTCCTGTTCTTGACACTTGTCTTGTTCATGACCATTTCCTTGCCCCGCCCTAATATATACTCCTTGTTCCTGCCACTGGACTGCTGTGTGACTCTGCCTTGGACCTGCCATTAAACCTTGCTTTTGGGCTTTGGACTCTGTCTCACCTCAAGTTCTCTTGCCCTGGTTCTGGTGCCTCTGTCTTGACTTCTGCCACTCCTGTCCCAGCCCTGGCTTCTGACACTCAGCCTGATCTACTCCACTAGGTTGTTGTGAGGATAAAATGGAGAGGATTATGTAAGCCAGCCTGGCTTCCTTGCAAGAGGAAAAAAGAAGGAATATAAATTTAATCATTAACATCATCTATGCCAATCCCATTCCATACAGGAAATCCAGAACTAAAGCATCCCCAACAGCTATGGAAATGACTAATGTGGAGAGATTTAAAAGGAGATTGGACCAACTCATGAATATGACTACCAATGACTACACGTCATGGTGGCTGCATATTACCTCTAGACCCAGAGGCAATATGCTTCTCAGAACCAGTTTTTAGAAGGTTCTGTTGCCCTTGTGTCCACTTGTGAGCTTCATGAGCTGACTGGAATTGTGAGAAAAGAATGCTAGTTTAGACTGGTCTCTGATTGGATCCAGCAGGGTTCCTGGCCCAGCCTCGCCTTATAGTCAACAGGAACACCACCCTGACCACCTGGTAGTTGGTTCTGATTCAGAATTCTAACCATTAAAATATTTTTCCTAAATGCTGAAGCAAAATCACATGCCCATTAGTTCTGGTCTTTCAGAGCCCCGAATCTACAGAGGAACCTTATACAAGTCTACTCAGAACTACTGCTAACAGAAATGCAACAGTAATGTTTTAAGACAAGTATTGACTGCAGAATAAGTAGCCAATTCCCCCACCAGGTGAGTGAAAAATACTTTGGAAAATGGAAAATACTCTGCTGCCTTTCTATGTTCTTAGTATCTTTTGCCCTCACAAAGTTCACCAGGACTAAGGATACATAAATTGTTTCCGAACAATTTATTGCTGTTTTTATTCTGGTTTTTAAAATGGGAGGTGTAATTCTTTGTTCTCACTGTTCCAGACTGAGATAATAGATGATTAAAAGTTTTTGTGCAATTGATGATAGGGCTACTGAGAATAGTTAGCAAATCTCCAAACAAAAAATGGTGTGCATCTTTTTTATGCTGGACTTTCAGGACAACCTTTAAAGGAAGACATATACCATTCCTTGTTTAGAAATACAAGTAAATAAAAATGGCTTAAAAGACATAATTAAGAATTTGGATATTTGTATAAGAGAAAATATATTAATGGGATTTAGAAGAAAGACATGCAAAGCAGGTTCACAATGTATTCTGGGCAACTTATAAGAAGGTATATGCACAAGGGGATCTGAGTCACTTCTAGTTAAAGCCCTACCATCTAGGGTCAAAGGGTTATTTGAGTAATGATGTACACTAAAATTTTAATGGTCAAGGTCAGAGGTTTATCTGAAGTTCCTGGGATCATCCATCACTCAAAGTCAAAAGTGTGCTTAAGGTTTTGCTTATCAGTTACGAGTCAATAATTAATGGTCAAAAATGCTTTACTAAGAAAAACATAAACATGTTAACTAGATATATGAATGATAGCAAACATTGATGTATATTCATGTAACGCTTAGAAAATAGCAGCAAACTTTGAATTAAGACTTGTCAAAATACATTCATTCAGGGCTCCTCCATCTACATTTATAGGACAGCTAACAGATGTTTATAATAAGATGTAATCTCCAAAAAGGAGGTATGTTCAATTTCTTTTTCTTTTCTTGCAATGAACTAACTTCTTTACTACAAGAAGCTTATGCCTGTATACCTGTCAGCTGAAACATGTGAAACAAATGGAGCTGGATAAAATTTGGGATTTAACCATGTTCTCCTCTACAATAGAAAGACTATAGAAGTGGTGCAAATCTAACCTTTAGTGTGGGATTTAGATGTGTGGCCAATAGACAGCTTTCCCTGATGAACTGTTTGGCTAAAGCTCTGTTAGTCCTGCTCTGTCACACTGCCAAATCCATTTGTCTATTTTCTTACAGGCCTTGCTCCCATGACTTGAAAAGCACCCTGACATGTGGAAATTAAGCAGATACAGAGTTGGATCCAGACAGCGACAGCAGAACTCCACTTGTACCTGGTGCTTTTTCCACTACACTACCCCATGCAAGCCATGTTTATTCCAAGCCTTTGGGATTTTTGCTTCTGACATTAAGTGACAGGGAAAGCTATCACCCAGGTGAATTCTTCATGTTAGGTTGCACATGAAAAGAACCTGGAAAGAAAATATAAGGAAAGTGAAGAACTACCCACCGACGAACTGATTCTAAAAAAGATCCTGGACTGTGCGGAAATAAATAGATTGACTTTATCACTGAAGGAGAAGGAAGATACTGACTTCTATCAAACCTGGGACTCTTTTTATTATTGGCTAGAGAAACAGGACTTCGCATAGATTTAAATATGTTTTCAAGTTATCATAAATGGAAAAAGAAAGGTGTGGGAGCTGACCCAGCAGGCCCAACGTTTTTCATGATTGATGTTGTTTTTAGTTTTTCTTTTTTTTAGGATTATAATTTTAAATAAAACTTATTAAAAAAATGAAACTTTTCTTGTCACAGTCATCTTTTCATTTGAGTTCCATCTCCACCTGAAGAGAAGAGGGTGACTTACAGGTAGCTTGATTGGCAAGGTAGCTAGCCAATGGGAATCAGGGCCTTTCCTCCTCTTGGTAACCTCTTCAGGAATGTTCTCTGGAATGCCTCCTCGGTAAAAGGAAACCTTTAAAAAGAAACCACCACAAGATGGGCAAAGGTGTTTAATTCCTACCTCTGAAGGTTCCATTGGGTGTCATTTGGACATGGTTTCCCCTGTAACCCTGGAATCAGACCCTTCAGAAAGGCTTATCATATAAGCTTCACCCACAAAATCAGCAAAGATAAATAGCCCTCCTTATGAGTTGGTGCACACTTAGGAAAAGTGGCAATGTTAACTTATTAATATAAGGGATAGATATTAAGATAAGTATTGGGAATGTGGATATGTCATATAAAACAAAAGGAAAAATGGTACCTGCCCTTTCACAGAGTTGGCTTTTCGGTCCAATTCAGAGGTGATATAGACTTCTTTCACATTTTTCAAGTGAGAAAAAAAGTTGAATGAAATCCTTCCATCGATGCAGTCTGGGCGGTCTGAGTTAAAATTCAGAGAATAGATGTATCAGATAGGACAAGAAACCATACTGTTGTAAAAACAACAAAAAACCTTTTGGCAAAAACTCATGTTATGAGTACAGAAGGTCCCAGATTCAATCCCTGGCATTGCTGATTTCAAAGAGCTTGTTAAGCAGGCTTGTCAGGATTAGCTTTCATCCAAGCAATTACTGCATCCAGGCACTGGTTCAGAATATGCCCAGCCACTCGTAATTTGGATGGCACAGAGAAGTAGAGCTGGGTGTCAGTAGCATACTAGTGACACTTTGCCCCAAACTTCCTAGTGAGCAGGAGCTGTAGCATCCGCACAGCAGGAGGTATGAAGGGTGGGTGGGCAGTTTCCAGCTCTAGGAACTGGGCTCTTTGCCTGTTCTGGGTGGGGTCGCACTCCCTCTGAAAGTATGGGAGTGCTCCTGGATTTATCTTTGTCCCTGGAGTCCCAAGTAATCTCAGTGGCCTGGAGCACCCAATACCTATTTTGACTGGTGCACCAGTCCTGCATATTCCTGGATAGGGACCGCCTAACTACAGTAATTCGTGCACTGATAACCTTACAATCTGACCACTGTGCTGTGATTATGTTGATTATGTTGGCCTGCCCTTGTGTCTGGTTCAGATGCTGCAGCTGACATGGAACACCTGTGTTAAAAGAACTGTACTGACTGCCATTTGCTACCAAGCCATGCTCAAGGTTGTTCAGATATAAAGCTATCTAACAGACTGCCTTCATCAATGTACCACTCAGTAGACCTTAAAGCTCTTCAGTGGAGGCCTTTTGCAGACTCACAATTTGATGGCAACTTACTTTCTTCAGCCAGTCTTTACCATTTTCTTATTTATTAAAGATGCATACTATTAATTAAATAAAATCTAATCAGTTCACTATGAATATTAAAAATCACATTTTAATACACAATGCAAAACCATGTCAAGAGCAATAGAGGAAACAGTAAGTAAGTTGCCATCAACAGTGTGTGGTTGCAAGAGCGCTTCTGATTCCTTAGGGGTTCCATTGGTTCAAAGTAGGAGAGCAGGACCTGAATCCATTCAGAGCTGATCGAGGGCACTATATATGCAAGCACTGTACCTGCATCAATGCTAATGCCGCATTCAAAGCCTGCAAAAAACTGCTCGCCTTCAAACATCTCCACCATGTCGGATGGCTCTGGTCCTCGGTATCTGTCATGGAGTTTTTTCAGAACAGGATCGACCTACCAGATGTTTAAACAGCAATAAAAAGATTTGTGTATTCAAAATATCAACACAAGTTGTTACACCTTGTTGCAGTTTCAATGGCAAGATTCAGGTAAGATTCCAAGCAAGAACCCTTGGAAAGCTCTGCTTACAATTAAAGAAATGCTACCTGTAGATCTAATTATTGGAGCCTCACTTAGATGATACCAAACTGGCTCTCACTCTCTTACACATCCCATGTTACAGCAACTCTGAGATTTCATCAGCCAGTGTTTCCTCTTCACTCACCAAACTTGCTTTTGCAAAAACCTACCAAATTTTCCTAACTTGGTGCCCTCCATATGTTCTGGACTTCAGTTCTCATCAGCCCTAAAAGGCATGGGCAATTGTAAGATTTGCTGAGAGCTGTAGGCCAACACTTCTGGAGGACACTGAGTTAGGAGGGCTGACGTATTTTAACAAACCTGCAAGTTGTTCTGAAGTATTGAAGCAGCACTAATTAATCTCCCCACCACCCCAAACCCAGAAATCTCTCTTGCTTTTGTGTGAACCACCAAGCTGAATGTATTGTTGCTCACCAGCTGCTTGATAAACTGCTTGGTTTTGCAATCCCAGGCAGGTAACAAAACCAGGAGATTCACTGAGCACGCAATGGCTAATGGGCTGGCTTTGGTCTGGAGGGCAAGGAGTTGCTCCATCCTACCAGCAACAAGGAACAAGCCCAGGTTTGAGCTTACTACTACTACTGTTATTGCATGTGTATGTTGCCCCATAGTCCAAGGGCTCCCTGGGTGGCTAATAGAACAACAGCATCATAACAAAAATAAAACTAATACCCAATGAAACATACAATCCAATTAATTACTACTGTGTGTTTATATGCAGACAATAAAGCCAGGGCAGCAAACACGTCACCTTGTGCTTCGGGACACACTGGAGCAAGACCTGTTCAGGATCCTTCTTCCTCTGTAGTGCTATGAAGTTCACATGGTACATGCGTAGCCTCTTATAGACCTCCATGGCTAAACCACCAATATAGGTCTTGGTGGTATACCATAACCAGTACCTGGTGGGCAAGTGGGGATTTGGAAATTGATTTTTATCACCTGGCTCTTTCATTTCTAAGCATATACATTCAAACTAGAATCAGCATGAATGCACAAACTCTGTTCAAAAGAAAATATAAGTGGGATGTATATTTCTGTCAAAAGAAAAAAGTGTTAAAGAGCAAAATGCTACCTACCTCCATCCTAAACTGTGCAACTGCCTATTCAAATAGAAGAAATCAGCAATGGTATCAATAATTTTTAAAGAATCTGTCAGGGACCTTTCTCTTACATATACATGCAAATAGCACATGATCTTTATAGCAGCTAATCGCAAGAACCAAACTGCTGTTATTAATTTTTGCAACTGTATGTACTGGGCCACTGCACAGCTATTACATCCCAACCCCCTTCCCCCAAAATGAAGCAAATGACAGTGACTTGGTTTGGACAACACAACAGCCCAGCATGGGTGACTCAGCCCTCTGGACACTGCAGTGAATATGCAAGAAACAGCAGGAATTTCTGGGGGCTGTCATGTTGTCCAGACCTACCCAACAGGGGTTAAGAACTCTTGCAGAACCCATGGTCTGTTTCATGGTTATGCAAGGGTTGTTTGAAGATGGCCCTCTGCTTGTATGGTCAACTGAGTGGGGCATCCAGTTCATATCACATTGCTCTCTCCTACCAAGTAAGAGGATGTAGGAACTGAGTCTCAAGGAAGGCACAGCCACTTAGGTACAGCTGAAGAGGGATCACATTCTCAGGCCAACTCACCAAGAAAAGTGTGTGACTTCAAACAAAACATAGAGATGGGTGAACTCCAGCACCACCTGATCTGTGATGTCATCCCAGTTCTGAGCATTCCAGTCACCATGCAACAGATGTATCCTGGAACGATCCAAGGTTAAACCTGGGAACAGATGGAAAGATGTTATCTGCAAACAGTGAGGCTGACCTCTTCTCAGTTCATAATTACATCAGGATCAGAGAAGCTTGTCTCCCAGTACATTATCAATGGGATATGTGACATTCTGAAAGGACTGGGGTAGTTGAGCAAATGTAAACATCAAATGCTCTGCAGGTCAGAGTTGCACTTCACTATACTTGCACAACACCTGCCCTTAACGAATTAACCCAATTTCCTCCAACAAAGATTAACAGTCCTGACTCAAAAATGCATGTAATTGTATGGCTGTGTTATACACTTAATTGCTCCACCAAATTCAGGTGTAGGATTTCTAAGGACATACTACATATTTATCTGTTGGGGAATTCCTGGAGCAAACTGACCTGTGACCCCTGGAGGTAGTGGGAGCTGAATTTTAACAGGTTGGAGGAAGTCCACAGTGGCATTCTGGGAAAGGCAGAGAAGGGGGCCAGCAACAGTTTCAGGATCATCTGTAATCTCCTGCAGCTCCTCAGCTGACACAGGTAGCACCTAAACATTGCAAAGGAAAGAAAGGATAGAATATATCCAGGAGCATGTGGGCTCCCATGCATGCAGTGTACTTTTCAGGCCTCTCTTCTCACAGTGTCTGTCTAAGCCCTGAAGAACTTAGAAAAAAAAAACAGCTCGCTCTTGCTTTCATGCTTTCTCGCACTGTGTGTGTGTGTGTGTGTGTGTGTGTGTGTGTGTGTGTGTGTGAGAGAGAGAGAGAGAGAGAGAGAGAGAGAGAGAGAGAGAGAGAGAGAGAGAGAGAGAGAGAGAGACAGATTGAGATCTGACATCATGCAAGGCCCAGCACTCCAAAGTAGTAGTCAGGAAAGTTCTCTGGCTACAAGTCTTGATCATTTCACCCTAATTCTAATATTGTTTATGCCTTCAGTAACAACCACAAGATTCAGGACTTGGGTATGCTTCCCTAAAGAGTAATTTCCTGCCACATGAAAGCTAAATTTGTACACTCAGAATAAATTGTAAATTTGTAAAGATGTATGCTCATTATTTTGCATAACTTCCATTTTGTGAACTGTCCAGAGAGCCTTCAGCTATGGGGTGGCACACAAATGCAATAAATAAATAAACTGTTTGGGGCTTGCTTGCTTCTTCTGAACAAGATATATAACTTGGATGAATGGGTATTTTTTTGTCAAAGATATGTGTGGTGCTTGAATGAGGATGGATACGTGATGGGCACTGTACAGGCAGAACAGGCAAGGACCAGAGTTCATAAGGAAAGGACACAAAGTCACAGAAAACACACAGTTCTTCCCCTTAAACAGTTCCTGCACATAGTGGGTACAATCAGGGAAGGAAAATAAGCCACCAGAGCTTATTTTCCCACTGCACACGTGCTGCTCATGCACTACTAAGTTACTATAATTACTTTCACTGGGTGTGGCTTGCCATGTCATCTGAATGCAGAAAAGGTGGGTGGAAGACATGTGACCAGCATGCAACAGGTGAGAAAATAAGCCGCAGTGGTCTATTTTGCTTGCCCAATTGCATGAATCCAGTCACTGTGTGTCAGCCTGACAAACTTATCTCTGTAACCTAATGAATGAATGAATGAATGAAAACTTTCTCAGAATTCTGTAGTAATGGTCAAATACTGCTCCCAGCAAAAATACTTTAAGTGAAACTGGGCACATAGAGAAGTGCTGCAGATGAACAGGCTCAGAAATTATTTTTATATCATAATCTTAAACAGAACTAAGTGCCAGTAGATGTGGAAGAGCATTAATGAAGCTTTACAAGCCAACACGATAGGCTTACCACAACAAGGAGTTTGTAACATGACCTTACAAGTCAAACAAAATATTAAGATATTCTTTCAGAGCATATCCCTTTGCACATGCGATCTAAACTGTGTGAACTGACTTTTCCAGGTTTCCAAGAAGGGCAAATTCTTTGCTGGATCTTAGGTTTCTTGGATGCATGTTCAGTTTGTTTTTGTTAAACAGATCCCCTACCTGGAGCTTCACTGTCCTAGTCTCCTTGGTCACACCAGGAGGAAAAGTCACTTTGATGTTGGGATCTACAGTTGAAAAAAGCAAAGCCCCCTCCTCAGGAACTTTGCGTTCATTCTCAACCAATCGAGATACAACCACAAACCAGGAGAAATGAGGGACACTGCAGCATGCCAAACGCTTCTGTTGGAAAATATGGAAGAACAAATAAATCCTTTGTAATACAGGACAATTCTTGCAATGTAGAAAGGAAACTAGCCTTTTTGGTACCATCACAATTTGTTGCTCTTAATAAAATATGCCAGCACTGATTTATATAAGTGATTCTTCTGAACTGTCCACACCCAGCATGGCCAATGGGGCCCAGTGGTGGGGAATAATGGAAACTGAAGTCCAGTGATGGTTTCTTGGACTAAGGTTCAGCAGCATCCCCAAGGACTTCCTGCATACCTTTATCCTTCTCTCACATGCTCAGGTGCAAAGATTTCCTGGTTTCTTAAGCCAAAACCTCTGATGATATTTGAAGCAGAAAGATGCGGCTTACAGGCCCAGGAAATCCATCCTGCAGTTAAACACGTGAAAGAAAGGAGGGTGTGCTTAAGTGTGCTACTTATTTATGCTCATTACATCTGAACTAGTCAGACAGAATTCACACTCCAAGTAGAGAACTTATTGATGAGTAATAGCATTAGGAACAGGATTTCAATATGAGATTTAATGCAATTAATTTAATGCATGAATTACTGTCTCTAGAAAAAGAACAGTGAGTAGCTTCTCCTTTATTCAGTTATCATTAGCAGAAATTTAGGTTCTGTTTAAGTCTGATATACAATATAAGAAAAAGAGAAAATTTCTAGGGCACTCAGTTTAAAGCAGGGGTCTCAAACTTGTGGCCCGCGGGCCAATTGCCAGGATGGGCGGGGCACGGAGGAGGGGCCCTGTGGCCTTCAAAGCACCGGCAGCACCCAGGCCGGCCTCCGGGAGTGACAAGGGATGAGCGGCCCACCCCCACCGCGGTGGGTGGTGGAATACTTGATGCAGCCCAGCCCCACCCAGACTCTACTTCCAGCGGCCCCCAGGTAAGTCGAGTTTGAGACCCCTGGTTTAAAGCAAGCTGTTCTGTTTGATCTGGACTGCAACATAGCGCCAGCTTGGGACTGTATGAGCTGAAAGAATGTCTCTCAACCTGAAACTACTGGAATTACGACAGACATCTGAAGCCTTTTTCTGAGTACCACCTCCAAGGAAGACTCAGAGGGTGGCAGCATGGGAAAGGGCCTTCTCTATGGTGCCCCCTCAGTTATAATCTCCCTACTAAGGACTGCCTGGTTCTAATGCTGTCATCTTTTCAGTGCCCTCTTGTTCCAGACATTTAATGGGATTAAGGGTATTTAATAGCATGATGGGACATATAGCCCAGCTGTTTTTAACAGGCCTAAGCTGTATTAAAATAGTTTTAACTGCTGAATTGGTTTTAAAGTTCATATACTGGAAAAATGTTATGCTGTTTTATATTGGATTTGTGATCTGTGTTTTTAAGAACTGTTGTGAGCTGCCCAGAGAACCTCTGTCACTGAATGGTACTGGATGGTATAGAAATTAAATTAGTAGCAGTATTTAAAAGTAGTCAAGCAGCTGATTGTACTTCACTTCATGACAGCTTCATGTTCCTTTCAATTTTCTGGCCAAGTACACACTGGGGCTCTTTGCATGATATGCATTTAACCCAGAGTGAGCTGCAATGTGTGTGGCCACCATTTTGCACATGCAATCTCTGTTGAGGGATTAACAGATTCCCCTCTGTTAAGAGGGGAAACCCTTAGCTAACCCATGCTCTGTTGTTAAGCTCTGGCACAACCCACTTCACCATAGGTTAAACTACCTCCAATGTGCCACAGTGTGTGTTCTGAACCGGGTCAATGCAGCCCTCCTGTGATACAAAGAACTTGGAGACAAGCAGAGTCACTGGTATCATGAGAGTGGAGAGATACACTTCCTGGCTTACCTTTCCTTTTCCTTTTACTCTGGTTCCTAAATCATTCCAGCTCTGCCCACTGAAGGTTCGAATTATGATCTCACGGTCATGCAGCCTCTGAGGAGAAGCATATGGCATCCCAATCTGCACTGCCTAGTACACAAGAGGGAACAAGATGGGTTAACCACAGAGAAGTCCACCCTGGCTGAACCCCACAGTATACAGAGCCAGAGAAGTCCCCCAGGAGCAGACAGCAGTAAGACTGCTAGTACAAACTGTTCAATGCATTTGGCATACCATAACTGGCAAGTGATAAGGACTTTCAGCATGGTGACATTTTATCTTGCGCTGTTTTTAATACTTCCTTCTCACCCTCAGCCTTCAAAGATAGGCAAGGACATTTATCTAAATCAAGGTGGCTAATTCTGCGTCTGGGTGCCATTTGGGGTTAAAATTAGATCGTTCTTGAACATGGAATGCAGGGAGGTGAGGCAGAATTGTGAACATAAATATCTCTTAGGAAGTATTTTCTACAATAAGAGAGGCCTGGTTTCAAACCTGTCAATACCATGCACCCAGAATGTGGAATCCATTTGCCTTCTTCCCACAACTTCTACATATCTGATCAAAATAATGCCTTGGGCTATGTGAAAAGAGAAAGGCACTCTGTAGATGCACATAAAGACCCCTTCCCTTCACATGTCCCAGAGCTGGTTGTTGGCACTATAAACAGTTCTGGAGAATAAGTCAAATTAAGCTAAGTCTCCTCAGTACTAGAGATAAGAGCAAACAAAGCTGCCCAGCCATGACCACATTTAGCAAACTGGTAATTCCATACTTGCTTCCAAGTTGCAAGACTTCTGTGATTTAGCACCATCCCAGCCTGAACTTGTTTATGACCTTATGAGCTCTTACTGCTTTGAAATCAATCCTGTGAGGCTGCAGTTCCAGAACTTCACTTAGCAGGATGTCATGGTGCTTCAGCTTCAGCCAGTGAGGATCTGGGGAGCATTTTTGGAAGTGGATTGTTACAGAAGTAGAGGCAGCTCCCCGGGGAAAACAAAACTGGACACCACAAGCCAAAGAAACTCTGCAGCCTTCAGGGGTCACAGTAAAGCTTAGAAGATACAAACAGAAGCAGTGATACTTTCATAACAATCCTCCCTTCTCCAAAGTTCTTGCAGAGGTACAAGAATTTAAAAAACAAGAGTTCTTAAATCATTATTCTACACCCACTACAAGACCATTGATTACAGTGCATTTATTTGGCTTTGCATCATTCAGACTATAGCTTTCTCCAAATTCATGCAATAAATGTTCAGGACACTCCACAGCCTAAAGAAATCCAAATTTGAGCTATAGAGACTGGAAAAATGGGAGCAGGTAGTGTTAAAAAGGTGTGCATGGTGGAAGAGGAGGGGCAAGCTTATCTCATGGAGTCCCACTTCTGCAATACTAATTTCAGCTGATGATTGATTTGTATTTCTTATGATTTATCTTAGCTTTTTGACTTTGCAAACCTGCTTAGAGATATTCTCCAGATATAATTGGTAGATATAGTCAGATATATAGATTTTAGGCTCTGAGTGAGCGGAGGCCTCCGACAAGAGACTATCTGGCTCCCCCCACAAGTTTTGTTAGTACATTTTGCACACACAGCAGCAGCAGCTCTCCAGGGAATGCAGTAGCAGGGATACTCTACCTGCAAGAACAGGTAGCAGGAAGGAGGGCAGCGCTTCAAGACAGGCCAGCCACTACACCAGGGCCTGAGCAGCTTAGTGTCCACCTAGAACTCAAAGCATCATCCCCCTCAGCTTTTCAGGACTCCCCACAGGGCAGGCTTCTATGCTGAGCCATTTAGACAGCTGAGACTCCAACAGCTGCTTGAGGATACCAGGCCATGGTGCTGGGCCTGTCCTTTAGCATGGGTTTAGTTACGGGGAGGGCAACATGCTGTCCACAGACCACATATAACCCTTGGCCACAAATATACCCCCCCAGCTGAGTTGGCTGCTGCTTTATCAGCAAAACAAATGGCAGTTTGCCACCAAATTTCAGTAGGAATGGCTAAAGAGGGCAGACTTGACTTTAAAGGCTTGTTTTAAAGCTCTATTTGGCCTCTTTAGGCAACTGTCATGGTTTGCCACTGAAGTTTATTGGTGAACTTCCACTTGTTTTAGTGCTGTTATTAGTGAAATTTGGTGAGGCCCAGTGGCAGTGGGGGTGCAGCTTTGGGGGTTCCAGAGCAGGGGCTGAAATTGGCCTTGCACCATCCACAGTTGTCTACCTCATAGTTATCTTCCAACCATGTAAGAATTTTATAGTTGAAAATCAAGCAGGGTTTAATAAATGCAGGATAATAAATGCAGTCTAACAGTCCAGAAGAATCCATCTCTGCATTAATGATTGGTTGAGGAAGACATCAGGGTGCAGTGTAAATACTGTACCAGCAAGGAGTTAGCAGGACACACTAATACAATCAGCAAAACACAATGGATATGAAACAGTGAAGAATACCTATCCTTGCCAGCTTCAAGAAACAGTTTCGGTAATTTTTCTGAGTGTGAGCCGTCTGCAACAAATCAGAAAAGAAAGTGCAATGGGGAAATAAATGAAAAGCTTTGGGTGCTTCTCTAGAGATTATTCAGGCATCTGAGCTTTACTTCGAAAGGACTGGCCTGCGCTGAGTCACCACTTACCGCTGGAATATTCTCTCCTACAAGATGAATGCCAATCCAACTTTCACAATAACTTATGTGAGAATGTAATTATTTTTTTTAAAAAGATCACTGCATGCCTATGGCTGTGGCAATTTTAATTTTATAATACCAACTGCAAATAAAATAACCAAGACACTGGAACCATTGCTTTAAAAATTCACCCATCACATCCAGCTTTAGGAAGTCTTCAGGCAGGACTGCATTCTAGCACTCTCTCTTTTGCCCTGTCCTGCACAGGTTTTAGGCTCAGCTTTTAGCAATATTTAATTTAAACTGAACCTAATGCCTGTGCAATCTACCTGCTCTTTTTCTGTGCATGCCCACAGTTTAAATCACTAAAGATGACTATGAGAGAAAGGATCTTTTCTCAGTAGTAGTTTCCCACTTACGGAATGTCCCCACCAGAGGAGTTCCTGGCACCTACAGTGCTAGACAAAGAGCTTTCCATTTCCCACAGTTTTTAACAATATTTTAATTATTTTTTTAAATAAACCCTATATTATACTAAAGTTTTGACATAATTATTTAGCACTTGGAACATGTATTTCTTTAGTTCTTTGATTACCTTGGTTAGTGCTGTGATTTTTTTACAGTTCTGCTAGATCTCTACTTTGGAATAGGCATTCTTTTGTTTAAGCTTTCTTATAACTGTCTTGATTTTTCTTTTTAAAAGGCATAATTCTAGGCATATTTAGATGGAAAATGTCCAATAACTGGCTGGGTTAGGCGTCGGGGGCTCTGCTTGGCACTGGTTCCGTTCCTACCTGGCCAGCCGATTCCAGAAGGTGGTGCTGGGGGACTATGGCTCTGCACCATGGCAACTCTGCCATGGAGTGCCGTAGGGTTCCATTTTGTCCCTTACTATTCAAATGGCTGGGGACCAGGATACCTAAAGGAACGTCTTTTTCCCTACAAGCCCTCCCACCCCTTATGATCTGCAGCAGAGGCCCTGCTCCGGGAACCCTCCTTGAACGAGATTAGGAGAGAACATACCTGGAGGAGGGCTTTCTCTGCGGTGGCACCCCGGCTATGGAATGCGCCCCCTAGAGAGGACGGCCTGGTGCCAACATTATATGCTTTCCAGCGCCAGGCCAAGACCTTTTTATTCACCCAGTAGTTTAATGTTTAAAAGATTTTAATTATGTTTCACTGCAGTCGTGGGTTATTAGTTTTATTATTATTATTATTCTTGTTTGGGGTATTATATATTTTATACTGTTGTATTTATTGAATTTTGTTTGTAAGCCGTCCAGAGATGCATAGTGAGTGGATGGGTTAGAAATATCCCAAATAAGTAACTCCCAGTGAGCTCCATCCACCATGGCTGGCTATCACATGCTTAGAGTTATAGGCCTTTTGTTATTTAAACTTGCATGGGATTTTGCCCTTAATATCTTGTAGCTCACCCACAGAAGTCTCATTACTGAGTGACTAATAAATGAAACAAACAAATATGAACAGCAGCCACAAACTTCAATCATTCAGTGGTCCTTCATAATGGAAACCCCTCAGGAAAAAAGGGATGCATTGTCAGTTTCTCTGTATGCATTTCATAAAACAAGCTTATTTAATCAGCAGACAAACTGATAGTAAATCACACCATTTTATAACTCTTCCTCAAGCGAACAGCTGTTCAACAGACAAATAAAACCAAATAAAACCAATTACCAGGTTGCAGAGGCACCTCAGGTTCTCCTAGAGGATTACCACGGAGATGCACAAAGGGGAAGCTCTGGATCTCTGGAGGGACAGAGCGCAGCTTATTATTCTGCAGATCAAGCCTGGACAAGTTGGGAAGGCGGGCAAGAGATGCAGGAACTGTCACTAAAAGATTGCTGTGAAGGTGCAGCTGCTGCAGAGATTGCAAATGAGCTGCAAGTCAGAACACACATTAAAAAGAAAGCTAGAGAGATCTGCTTGATGCTTAACACATCTCATACCTATACAATTCATATTCATATTCAAATTCCAAATCTCTTTTAAAAAGGTACCTGGAATCTTGCTTCAAACCACCTCAATTTGCAATCAGCCCTCAAGCATGCATACATACCCCCCCACCCCACACACACAACTAGGATATTTATATGGAGATGCTTACTAGTATATATTAGTCAAGAGAAATGTCATTAACAAATATTAAAATAATCTAATTAACCAGCGCAGGGAGAGGAAAATCAGGCTTAATCCTCCTAGGTATTAGGATCATGGTTGTTTTCAAAAATGTAACTTATCAACAAGTGTTTTCTACTAAGCAGCAGCACTTCATATTGCCTAGGCACAATGCAGTCAAAATTGAGTATTTTAAAACACATGCTTTCAGTGTGTGCATCTTGCCATGCAAATTGGATTTGGAAGGGGCCAAGTCCATTGAGTCCAACCCCCTGCTCAGTGCAGGGCTCCAAGTTAAAGCATCCCTTTCAGATGGCTGTCCAGTTGCATCTTGAACATGTCTAGTGTGGGAGAGCCCACAACCTCCCTAGGTCATTGGTTCCATTGTCATACTGCTCTAACTGTCAGGAAGTTCTCAAAATCTCCTGAGTCCCAGTCCTGCACTCTTAACCACAGGCCTTATGCTAATCTATTGGATTTCTCAAGGATTCATTTCCCTTTTCTACTTCCTTATTTGTTTCACTTCTGTAACACTCAATAGCCAAAGCCCTCTGGATGGCTTACAGCTGTTCCTAAAAACATGACATAATACAATAAAAGTTATCATAAATTTTTCCATACATTTTTTGAAAACAGGTTAAGAATTTACAAACAATTTAGCAACAGACTGAGCAATACTGTTAAACACCCCCAGAATAGGTGCTCCCATCAAGCTATTAAAGATATATTGAATTTAAAGATATACTGAAGTGCCTGAGCACAGAGGTCCATCATAACTGGTGCCAAAAGGATGATCAGATTGGCAGGTGTATTATGGTGAGGAGATCATTCCACAGTGGTGGGGCTGCCACCGAGAAGGCCCTCCCCTTCGTAGTTGTCTTTTAACTTCCTTTGGAGGCAGCACTCAGAAGAAGGCATTTGATGTGGGTTTTAATGTCTAGGTAGTGTCCAGGCTGAAAAAGGTACCCCAACAAGTATTGCTGTTCCACTCTTTGTAAGGCTTTATAAGTTAAAACCAGCACCTTCGTTTGGACTCTGAAGTGCATAGGCAGTCAATGCAAGAAGACCAGAACTGTTGTTGCATGTTCAGAACTTCTGGTTCCAGTTATAAGTCTGGCTCCTGCATCTTGCACAATCTGAAGTTTCTGAACAGTTATCAAGGACAGCTCCACTGGTCAAAGTTAATGAGTCAAGAAAAGAGCAACCTGACTCCAATAAACAGCATGCAAATACATGACTTTGAAGCACAGAAAGATTCTAAGTCACATCCTCAAGCATTTTGGAAAT